ATCGAATAAATTACTCAAAGTTTTATAAAAATTTATTTACAAATATATCTTTATTTGAAATAAATATTTTATTTTTTTACTTTACATTATTATATTATTATTTATTTTATTAGAAGTAATTATCTGTTTCTTTTATTTGTCATTATTTATCATTTATTGTCTGTTTTTTTTATTTCAAACAAAAAATTTTGTTTCTTTGTCATAAAATAAAAAGAAGATAGATAATATATATATATATATATATTATTTTTTATTATCAGATAAAATAATAATATATAAATATAATATATATATTACCTATCTCCTTTTCATTTTATAATATATATAATATATATATTATATTGTTTGAATAATAATGTATTTGAAAGATAAATTATTATTATTTTATTTGATATATGAATATTTTGATACAAAAATATAAAGATGTTTTTCTGTGGAATAATTTTTGTACATGAAATTTCTATTTTCCATTTTTTTTTTTTTTTGATTATAATATTATAATATATATAATATAACGGTCATATAATTCCTAATAACGAATAAATATATAGAAATATTCGAATTGGTTTTTAATAAAATTAAAATTATATGTATATCGCAGATCAGTATAACAATTGTCGGTTGACAGAGGTTCAATGTTTCACTGATTCGAACTTTTGATCTATCTTCACGGAGGAATGTGGAAATGATGAATACAGTATCGTAAGAAATTTGGCATGAAATGGCACTATGTAACACCAATCTTTTTCTTGGGTCAACTAAGTTCGTTGCCTTTTTCCTGAATAACATAATTCCGCCAATTTTTCTCAAATCTTTCTCCTCATTCATAAAATGATCGAATTTTGTTTTATAATTCTCACTAGATTATTTGTTACGTCTATTTTGATTGTTCAATCTTAGAATAGATTTGCGAAGATGTTCAATTTACCTTGAAGCATTTAACTAAAGCAACATTGAACTGCGCATATGACCCACGAGGCCATACGGTAGATGATCCGGGTGATATCCAGAAATAAGCATAGCGGACAAATACTGGAAAGAGTACGATATATAATGGTCAATGACCTTTACCAATTCGCTCGACACCATGGATTTGCAACTAATTTCCGCTGCGATTCATTGACATGGAATAGTAATAAATGAATCAGCTTATTTCCACATATCATTGCATCAGAAAAATCTAGCAGATCGAATGTTTGATACATACAGTTTATCGATATCGTTCGCTATTGATAATACTTTTTTTGCAGTAAGTGAAATAATAATAAATGAATCAGCTTATATCCGCATTTCATTGTATTATAAAAATCTATCAAATTATATATATATTTATTGATACATAATTCAATAAAATAATATTCTTTTTGTGTATTATCTTATTCTCTTTCTTATTTATATTTTCTTTTTTTATTACATCGGCTAGTTATTCATTCTTTCCGTTGTTCTCGTTTTTGATAAATTTCATTATTATACACGTGATTATTATCACAATTTAATATACGTAACTACTTGTTATAAAGCGTAAACATTACGTACACGCATGCGTATTAATATGTTCCGTTGTTTACGATGTTCATGATTCTTTGTCGGTAATATCCAATCGTGTTCCATCTCACCAGTGCACATGATTCAATTTCACATGGTACGTGATCTCGAAATTGAACGATTTCTGTCATTTTTCAAGATTCAAATAAATTTTCCATTCAAGTAAAAATATGTGGAACGTTCGATGCCTCACACGAAATGTATGCGTGATAAAACAATTATTTAAAATTAATTGTCACACCGAAAACCTTAAACAAGGAGAACCTTTTGTGCGTCCCATTATTTAACCTTGAATTATGGATACACGTGCTACATGAAGAATCGTTCGAAGATCGTTCTTGCTCCTTTCACCTCAGCTACTTATGAATCGACCAGTTTGTCAAAAAATTTATCTGCCGGTAATTTCTTTCTCAAAACATCGTTTTTTAAATAACAAATTTACATAACCACGAATGAATAACAAAAATAAAAAAAATCATATTTATTTTACATTTCTTCTCCATTATGATATTTTTCAATATACTATTTGCAATCTTCTTTTATATGTTAATATTCTTTATCACATGTCTATTCGTATCGCATAAATCATCCTATCGATATAAACATATACATATTGGTATATTAAAAATTATCTTCCAAATTCACAGCTCGTTTAAAATATTTTATCATTAATATTTTTAATAACCTATTATTTTAAATTAGTTCGAATCATTCATTGCTAAACTTATTAATTTATCCTTTATATATATATATTATTTTCGTAAAAATATAAATTTACAAATGAGAATTATAAGAGAAAAGAGACGAACGAATCTCGTTTAAAGCAGCCGGTGAATTACGTAACGTACTACGCGCGTTCGTACTATATCATGATGGTTCTACTTTAACTTCATCACGCAGCACAAGATACGCAGTTGTTGTCTCGCTATGGCAAATACGTTTTCACTTCTTGTTTCTCGTTTGATCTTTATCGTTTATTTTTCATCTTTTTATCACTAAATAAGTCAAAATTTCAATAGTTCAATAGTTAGAAATTGTATCCTATCAATAATAACATAATAATTCGATTTAACTTTTAGGAATTAAATAATATCAAAACTTATTATATGAAATTGTTTTCATTTTTGAAAACTGGACTAATGTTAACACGCGGAATAAATTTGTGGACATTCTTCATACTTCGCGAAACAAGAGATCCAGTAAAGTGATAATCGCACTTGGATGAGTCACCAATGATTGAAAAAAAAACGTTAAGTAGATAAAATGAATAAATTCCGCATACTTTTGTCACCTCACATATATATACAAAATGATGTAATTAACTAGATAAATTTTTACGAGTCACATACTATCTTCGGTTTACAAATATTATGTTTGAAGCGATAACTTTTCATAATTTAATTTTTTACTGTCCCAATGCAAATCTATTCGGAATTAATTTAGATAATTGATTTTACCTGATATAGACATCACATAACACGACATAAAGACAATGAAAAAAACCACAAATATGAATATGAAAAAAAGAATTGATTGCTAATAGAAAAATTTGAAAAACAACTATAAAAAAATCAATTAAACTATTTTGCGAATTTATTTTTTAATACTCTTTTTTCGTTCCTAACAAAATCATCATGCACTCTTTTTTTTTTTCATCTATTTGTGTCGTTATTTTCAGTTTATGATATATTCATATCTACAAAACTGATCCAATTGATTGTGTTCATGTATTAATCATTATTTTTTTATCTTATTCTGATATTGCTTAGTAATTTATTCTGCAATCTTCAAACTTTTTTTTACTTTTGAATAAGATATTTATTTTCAACATTTTGCGAAACATTAGTAACTGAGGAAAAAAAACATATGTAAAAATGAAAGAAAGTACATTAAAAGTAAATCGATAGCATGATAATAAGTATTGTATTGGTGCTGCTGATACAGCAAACACAGCAAAGTCACTTTTGCCACGTGCAAAAACCGGTTTGTGCTGTTATTTTGTGCGACCGAACACTGTCCTTTAAATTTTCTGTTTAGACGAAATCTGTTGAATTCTCACGGTAAGAATGTCCTTTCAATCTGATTGAATTCTTCAATTTCTACGTAAGAAGTCCCTTTCAACTTTTTGTTTTTCAAATTGAACATTATTTTTACGAGAGCATTATTTTACAAAATTGAACAGAAAATTACAATTTCTTATTCATCGATGAAGCATATCGTATACATCACGTGATAGTGAAAAACATTTTTCTTTCGCATTGCTGATCGAACATTGCTCCCATATTATTAATTCGATATGATCGACATGCGGATATACGATTATTACATCCATGATATGGATAATGCAATTATTATCATAATATATGCTATTTCATGGATGAGAAAGTTATAATTTTTACAATATACATATTCTATAATATATTCGAAATCGATGATTTATTGATTAATTCCATCTTCACCGATTTTAAAACTTTGAAATATATTATAAAAATCATTATTTTTTCTTTTATACATAACTGATGATTTTCAAGATATTTATAAAAATATTTGATATTATTAATTCTGTATGTACATCTCTATGTACATTCGTGACACATATGTGACAGTATGTGATCAGCACTTATCAACTGTTTATATAAACACATCAAAGCGACCGGCAAATATACTTATAATGCATGAATTAATATCATTAGTTAATATCTATCCTTCGAATTTGCGGAATGCAAAAATAAAATATAAAACAATGATCAAAATTGTAATGAATGTTGTTATAATAATTGGTGAGGAGGAAGCTAATAAACAGATCGATTCTCGAAATATGAATCATAATAATATAAAAAGATTAGAATATATAATAAAATTTCTAATTGGGCAAACGCTTCATTCCGATTTAATTTTAAATTTAAAATCAAATATATAAAACTGTAGATCGCATGGCCAGGTAAATAAATGACCGTATAATGTTACGTAATAATAATACGGCTAATAAACTTACGACGCAATACCATACAGATTATACGGGCAACAAGTTCACGCGATGTCGGCCGATTGAAAACAAACTTCGATGGCCGACACGAGTCTGCGCGTAGCATAAAAACTACGTATATAAATGCATTTGTATGTGTATATGTCTACATTTGACTACTATAGAATACGAGAAATGTTGTCGTTTTTCTTTCCCGTATTCTTTATCTTCTTCTTTCGTATTTCATTTTACGTGCACATCTTCACATAAATTTAAACAGAAATACTTTCGTACTTCGTCTTGGTTGTCTCTCTCGATTCTTTTTCTATGTCGCGTGATGTTATACGTGGCCATTGTGCGCGCGCATCCCTTCCTAAAACAACGCACGCCGCGACCGCTTCGGCGATATTTCCCGTTCCTCTATGTTTATCTGGCTCAGATCCCTCATAATGCGGGTATAAATGATGCTAAATTGTAAAGATCTTGCACATATAATCTAACCATTGGGTCGATAAACACGTTTTACTCAAGCTTTTCGAAAAAACATTCATGATGAAATCTTACGTACAGAATGGCGTTATTACCGGCAAGTCGATTCCAAACATACGAGAGCAATCAGTGATTCTCATACGCTCTTGAACAAATTGTAAAAATTAGACGAAAAAAGTGTTACACAGAGAAAGAGAGAAAGGAAAGAACTAAGGATGGAAGAGAAGAAGAAAGGTAGTTTTAATATTTAATTTTCTTTAATTGTAATAATTCTTTAATTGTTAGTTTCAATATTGCATTTCAATCATTCATATTGATGATTCATATATGATAAATATGAGTTTTATTTATTAACGTGAATGTCAAGATCGTGTTTACTTAAATAATATCGATGACGAATTCTCTAAAAATAGAATTGCAAGCTAGATAAAAATTGCATCATTCAATTCGGTAACTACGTGGCTTTAGTGTAGTAGTTTTGTCTCTTCGAAAAACGAGAGCCCCTGCCTAGAAGCTACGTGACGCGGCGCCGTTTCAGAGGGCGTCGACGAAGTTGCTCGATGCTACGTAGAAGCAACGGAAAGGGAGGAGGGTAGCGGCAGTAATGACAGCGTGGTGGGGATCGAGGACTCGTCGATGCCGGGACGAGAACAGCGACGAAAGAGAGTGGAGGGGTTGTTAGTAAGCGAAGCGGCCATCTTGCGAGGTTCAGTCGGAAACCAACTGCCGTGCAGTGAGGGAAGGTAAAAGAAAAGACTCGATGTGTTAGCTGAAGGATTTTTTTAATGCGCTTCCGAGCCGGGTTACCGCTACGTGCGAAAGGCTGTGCGATACCGACAACGGAGCAGCGACCATCCAGAGATTTTCGCATACGGAAAAACTTTGTTTTATCCGGCGAAAAGTCTCAGGGTAGGAGCAGAGAAGAAGGAATCGAGGGAGCAGAAGTTTTGACGCTGGAGAAGAGAAGTCGAGAAGGCATCGAGAAGTTGTATAACAATTTCATTTCTCGCGGAACAGATTTATCCGCGATATTTAATATCTCATCAGATTAAAGGCAGTGGAGAAGACAGAAAGAACTTTGTTCATATCATTGGAGACAGTGAAGAGAAAGAGTAAAGAGAAAAAAGTAATAAAAAAGTGAAAGAAAGAAGAATAAGTGAGAGATAATTGAGAAGAAAAGAAAAGAAAAAGCGCAGTGTCAAAGTCTGTGATAGTATTTATTCAAACGATTCAGCTATACCGGGTATTGTCTACCACAGTAGCATCGTTTGTCGCTCCTATAAATCGCAAGAGTTAGAGAAACAGAGGAATAGATAACCTTTATATATTTATTTATATCTGTGATACCGACGCTGATATACATCGAATTATCCCGAAGAAGAAAGAGAAAAAGAAAGGAAGTATACGTCGGTAAAGAGAGAAAGAATTGAGAGAAGCATAGTGGTTTAAAAAGTTAAGATAGTGGGAAAGGAGATTATATCAGTAACTTAGTGGATATAGATGTTTTTGTATATACGACTGACTCTTTTTTATAATTATTGATATCGGGTTAAGAGCGAAAAAGAGAGGAAGTTTCATTGTTGTTTGTTAATTGAAAAAGAAGGGAGATTCAAAGAAGAAAAAAATTAAAAGAAAGTTTTGTTTTGAATAAGAACTTCACTTTTCTTTTTTGACTCTTTTCTGGATATTAAACCGAAGCTTGTGGTAACTGTGCGAAAATGGTGGAGAAAATCTTGGAAGAACGAGAAGACGGTTGTCAAGAGGTTGCAAGAGGTATGAACTCTTTTTATAATAAATGTTAATTCAATTCACTTCAAATTAAACATGATCATGATGAAATTTGATATAATTTTAATCTTTCACTAGTAAAAATTCAAAATAATATCATTAATAGTTATTCATTTAACATAACTTTTTAATAGATGTATTTCAGTATTATATTTTATTTTAAATAAATGATTGTCATGTATAATTTATTATGTTATTCTTTCATATGAATTTCGTCATTAATCGAAAAAAAGAGAAATATCGTTTCGACTGAAAATTCGAGTTCGATTTATATAGAAATAAAAAAAAGATATAAAATAATTGAGATAATGGATTAAAATTTTCAAGATTAATTGTTGAAGAGCACACGATACGTGACAATCGGAGTCGGTTGACGGAAGAACTTTCTCGAAGCCGGTGCGCACATTGCCAGCTTCTTCGTTCTTTCAATTCAAATTGCAAAATTCTTCACTTACATTTTAAATCCGTTCACTTACATTTTCATTTCTATTATATTTTGTTCTAGCATATAATAGAATATATTTTCTTATAATTTAATTATAATAACTTTGACATTTTCAATTATTATATATTATTAATATTCTCAAAACTAATATTTAAAATTTTAATTATTCCGAATTATTTAATTAATATAAATATTGTATAAAAAGTTTAAAGATTAAATCAATATCACTTCATATATATATCTTAATATACATCTACGTATATGTATTGTTATTTTATTTTTTCTATTTTGAAACAAAAATAACTATTCTTGTATTTCGAACGAAATATATTATACGACACAAAATATAAAATATATTCATATATTTTTTGGTTTGATATCTTATTAATAAATTGTTTTTAATAATTGATATATAATATATAATAATATATAATAATAATAATATATTAAAAATACGATTGCGATGTCGAAAGGGACGAATAACAAAATACAGAATAATAACTCTGTGTTGTATGAAGCTAAAACGCAATGAAGAATGCGAATGTGAGAAAGAACATATCGAAGCAAAGCACGACAGAGTTACAACGATAAATATATATATATATATATATATATATATTTATTGTTGAATTATTTTCAAGGGTCAAAGTGGGTTAGTTGGGTCTCGTTCGAATTGGATGCAAATCGTAAAGGGTGTCGGTAAGGGTAACCCAAACAAAGAAAAGGGGGAAGGAATAAGAGAGAGAAAGAAAAAAGAGAGAAAGATGAAAAATCCTTGTATGTACGTTGAATTCGTTGCTACCCTTCTTTTTTAAAGGGAATAGTTTGTTCCAAAGAGATTTTAATATATTTGATCTCTTGGAAGATATTTTTTTTATTGATACAATAAATATATGTCAGTATAATTAATATTTCAATTCAGAGAAAATATAAAAAATTTTTCGGATTAAGAATTATTTATTATTTTCTACAATTTGTAGAAAGAAATCATTTAATTTCGAACTTTAAAACAAATTTTAAACTTAAAACAAATTGAATTTTCATATACGTTCTATTAAACGTTAAATAACTTCAAGCAAACATTCAAGAGGCAACGTAGTTTATTTATGTATAGTTGTTCCATTTGTTTATTTTGGTTTGTCTATTGTCACAGATTTTGCAAACGCGGTAATAATATTTTCGTACACGTATATCTCGCGTAAGATGGCGGCGTTCCTTTTCTGTGTCAGTCATTGAACTCTGAGCTCTCAATGCTCGGTTGTGTTGCTTCTTGCATTGCATTGCGTTGCATCGTCGATGCGAAACAATCAAAAGATACATTCATTCTCATCTAAATTACTATTTGGTGTTGAAAAAATAATTAAAAAAATATGGAAAATAACTTTCATTTGATTGCATATTTTTTTCACTAATGAATATGAGTTTTTTATGTTAGAAGGTTAAAACATGCATTTACCGGTTTTTTTTCAAATTCATAATTTTGAACTTATGATAATCAACAATTAAGTTTGATAATAAATACAATGTTTGAAGATTGAAAATGGCCTAATCGTTACAATTTTTCTATTACTAAATTGATCCTTCTATTACATGTTTCGTATATGCAATGTTTCTCCTTGTCAACTTACCAATTCATACACTTTCAATTCAATCGAATATGGCGGTTACGCGCGATTCTTTATATTTTATCGAATAATTTTTAAAATTCAAATTTTAAAAAATTTGTTTAATGTTTTTAACCACTCAGTTTATTTTTTTAATTTTGTAATAATATATATTTTTATAATAATATATATTTTTTCATTTGCATTTTCATTTATATATAAATTCATTGATTGAATTATTAGCAAATTGATATTGTTTCAATAATTTACAAGATTTATATATTTTAATAATATTTGTAATTTATGATTCATAGAAATTTCTATCTTCTTCGAGAAAATGTATATCAATGTTATGTAATTAATAAATTATAAATTAATATATTCATTTATATATATATATATGAACTTTTATTAAATTAAATTAAAAAAATTATATTAAATTATATTAAATTAAAAAAACAAATTAAATATACAATCATCCATGATATGATATAAATATTATTAATATGTAAAGTGAGAAAACCTTGTTTGAAATCAGCCAATGTATAGATAAATATGCACAAAAATAAAGTGTACATTGTGTCTGCTATAATATTAACACAATTTAGTATATATTCTTTTGATTGCTCAATAAATTTTTTAGCGAACAAACAACTATAATGTAATTGTTGCATTTTATATTTTTAAAAATTCTTCTATATCTAAATTTAATTTCTAAAAATTATTTCTGAAAATTCTCGAATTTTTTTCATTTTTTGTTTCATTTTTTTTGTAACAAACTTATAAATTAACATTATAACAAATTTATAAATTATTTTATTATTAAATTATTTTATATAATTATTATATAAATTATATTGTATAATTGTATAATATTATATAATTTATATTATAATAACAAAATATATTAGATTCATATATTTAACTTTTCTAAATAAACAGATTCTTAATATTTGATTAATTATTTATTAATTATATCTATAATTTCATATTTAATAAAATCTTTAAAAAATCTTCTATTCATTTTTCTATATAATTTTTATGTTTAATTGCAAAGTTTTGTAATTATTTAAAGCATACATTGTTATTTTGTTTTAGAAGATGCAAATTGCAGAGATACCGTGAATTCCACGGGCGAATCTATGAGCGCGGTGCAAGCTCGACAAGAAGAAGCTAGGCGCAAAAGACGCAAGAAGAAACGTTCTGGATCATCCTTAATGTCTTCTTGCTTCCAAGGTAAAATTCAATATGAAAAGATTGTGTGTATGTTAAAAATTAAAAAATTCATATGCTCGTATATTGTGACAAATATGTATAACGAAGCATAAACAATGTTGTAATTGTGTATCGTATGACGTTAATTGAATTATAAAAATATTTTTTATCAATAAACACGATTTAATATCTAATTTTTTCACATACTATGAACATTTATATTTATAATCATTACACATCAAATACATTACACAGTACCTATAGATAATTATTACAATTTTTTAAGGTCTTTTAAAATTTTCTTATTGAGTTATTTTTAAATGTTCTAAAATTATGATTGATCGAATGATGTGAACTATGCGTTACATAAGAAAATCATCAAATAATATATTATCTATAGCAGATTATAAATTGTATTATAAATTGTTTTCGTGAATATACAATTGAGTTAAAATTAAATTAATAATGTCTTTCTTTTATGTTTTATAATTATTTTATTTAAATATATAATCTTGTACAAATTTAAAATTAATATTAAGATAATAATAATTCATTTAAGAAATTTATATAAATTATTGATTTAATATAATTAACCGCATGACTACTTTAATTTTACTTTTTAATACAATGACCGATCATTTTTCTATTTATTAGTCCGGTCATATAGAATATATTTTATGAAAAATTATATATTATATATTATAATTATATATTATAATAAAAAAAACAATTCCAATCAAGTTTTGATATGTATATATATTTATTATCATATTTTTAAATGACTTAATTATTAAAAAAAATTGGAATGCATGATGAAAATGTTAAAAATTAATTATAAGATGTAATTACAATATAATTATTTAAAAATATTTTTGGAATCACAATGTATAATCAATTATTGATCAATATTTATTTAATTTGTACTCTTCGTGAATTATTTGAATAATAAATCATTTTTTTAAAAAAGTTCCATCAAATTATAATCTTGTACAATAAAAGTAGATGTGCATGAAGATGCATGTTGTTATATCTTAAAGATTAAAAAATAATTGGACATTAATTTTATCTATCAATATTATTTTTAGATTCTTATATGTCAATAAAAAGCATCATTTAATAATAAAATTATAATGAAAATATAATTTCTATTTTTTTTTTTTGTAATTATTGACCGAGTTCACTGCTTGAAACCATTATGTCATATCATGCGATCGATTTGTACGATATAATATAGTATAGTATAGTACAGTATAGTACTGTAGAGTTTGTGTTCGAGAAGCTTCCTGCTCTGTACTCTGCTACTAGTGAGAGAACTAGGCATGAGTGCACCCGTATACTTACATATGTACGTTATACATATACAATCTGGGCCACGGGTTAACTCGTTGATACATATGTACATGTATATGTATATATTTCAGAAACTCTTTTTTAAAATTTTTTTTTATCTTTCATACTTTTTTTTATATTTTTTTTTCCAAATACCAATTATATTAGCTTTGTGCAATTTGCACTGTGAATTTTTTACTATTTTTGTTTTTATTTTTATTATTAGTTATTTTTCATAATACAATTTATAGAAATTCTATTTATTTTTAATTTTTTTAATATTTTTAATAATAGATACTTTTTTCTTGTTGTTGATATCTCTAAATTAATTAAAATTTTATAATTTTCAAAGTAATTCAAGGACAAATTATTCTTTATTAGTTCACAACTTATGCTTTTCTTAGCACGTATTAAATATGTTAATATTTTTGAAAATTATATTATTTTTTTTGTTCGTTGAATTTTTATTTATTATAGAAGTAGTTATTATTTAAAAAAAAATTAAAAATATCATTGACAAATATATATTATGTATTAAATATATAATATAGTAAACAAATTTAGTATATCGATTATGTATCATGATATCAAATTAAAAAAATATAGAATTAAATTGACGATGTACTTTAACTGTAAAGAGTGGGGTGGATGGGTATGATGGAGACATGGAAGTGTATTATCGGGTTCTGGTTGCTAGGTATTCGTCGGCGGTGTTGCCAAGCAGAATCGTATCTTTGGCGTGAGGCAAATAGGTGGGAGCTAGGGGGAGAGCAAAACTGTTGGTTAGGGAACAGAAAAGGGAAGGTAAAAAGAGAGTTGATAGCAGCTTGAAATATATAGTTGCAACGTTGAACCAGGGAACGAACAAATGAACGACGAGCCGGATAGAATGGAACGGAAGCGTCATGTTATTGTGAAAGTGAGGTGGGGGTCAGGCAAGAGTGAACAAGAAATTTAAAGTTCTCGGACAGAGAGAAAGATAGAAAGAATACGTATGTTTATATGCGTAGTGCTTAACGAATATTTACTTATGTTTGATCTCCTTTTGGCCTTAACATTGAATACATTATATGAATAATTCATATATAATTTTAAGATATAATAATTTTTTTTCTCTAACAACGATTAATTTTCTAAAAGCAATATAACAACTATAAAACAATATTTTGCAGCATGTACTATAAACAATAATATCAAAGTTAAATATACGTTATACTAAATAATGTAATCTTTATTAATCCAATTAATAATTGAAGAGTTTAATAGAAAGCGAGCATTTTTTATTCAAATTTAAAGAAAATCAAATTGAAGAAAATTTTATGTTCATAAAGAATGTGATTTAGTTATATTCATTTAATAAAATGCACATGATATTTTTAAAAAAGATTGAAATAAATAAATGAAATGATACAAAAAAATCAAAATCAATACATATCTTCCAATAGAACCTTCAATTTTAGAAACAAAAGAAAGTATTATATTAAAATCACCAAAATTTTTCTGTAAGCTTTTTCCAATTTTTCCAATTTCTAATTTTTTCACATGAATAAAACAGTAACATTACTCACACGAACAATAATAAAGGATGTGCTTACTACGAAACATGAACTGTTTTTGCGTACGTGACGCGGTACGATTATTTTTGGACAACCTCGCTTCTCTCTTTCGGTTTTCCCCCTATTTCCCTCTACCTCGTACTGCCTAGTCCTAGCCTCTCTTTATTCCCTTCTATTGTGTATTTATTCATTTTTCAAAACTCATATATAGAGTACTTATATTTTTTTTTCAAAAAAAAATTAATCATTCAAGATTAAATATATATATATATATATATATATATATATTATTTTTATTATTACAATTATCAAATTTTGCTATGTTTGTTTCAGAACTGTACAGATTGACTGGCGAAGTTCTTGGTGAAGGTGCTTACGCCTCGGTTCAGACTTGCAGGTCGCTTTATACAGACCTGGAATATGCTGTCAAAATTATTGATAAAATTCCTGGTCATGCACGGGCACGTGTATTCAAAGAAGTCGAAACATTTCATCATTGTCAAGGACATCCAAACATTATTCAATTAATCGAGTTTTTCGAAGATGAAGAAAAGTTTTATTTGGTATTTGAGAAAGTAAACGGTGGTCAATTGTTGAGCCGGATACAAGAAAGAATTCATTTCAGTGAACGAGAAGCAAGTCAGATAATTCAAGAGATCGCAAGCGCATTAAATTTCCTTCATAAGAAAGGTAATGCAATTTCCATTAACTATTATATAAAATATACATTTCCTCGAAATTATTTGAACGAATATATATATATATATATATATATTTTTTTTTATGTAGGTATTGCTCATAGAGATCTGAAACCCGAAAACATCTTGTGTGTGTATCCGGATAAGTTAACACCAATTAAAGTGTGCGATTTTGATCTTGGCTCAGGCATAAAATTCAATAACTCATTGTCAAGTCCTGTAGCTACTCCGCAACTTTTAACGCCAGTTGGCAGTGCCGATTTCATGGCTCCAGAAGTTGTGGAAGCTTTTATCGGAGAAGCGAATTATTATGACAAACGTTGTGATCTCTGGAGTCTTGGTGTGATTATGTACATTCTCCTTTGTGGTTATCCACCTTTCTATGGGAATTGCGGTTCCGACTGTGGTTGGGAGAGAGGCGAAAATTGTCAGGCTTGCCAAGAGCTTCTATTTACAAGTATTCAGGAAGGCAGGTATGAATTTCCAGACAACGAATGGAGGTGTATTTCGGAAGACGCAAAAGATTTGATCAGAGGCCTGCTGGTAAAAGAAGCTCATCAAAGGCTTAGCGCCGAGAGTATTTTGAAACATCCATGGATTAATCCTGGTCCAAGTTCCGTTGAAAATACTGAAAAATCTCTTACAACTCCTCATATTATCAGGTTCATATCCATGATAATTACCAAATAATTCAATTTTAAAAGTATGATATAAACTTAGATTTATTGATTAATTCTACAAATATAATTTATTAAGTATATCTTTATTGTTCATAGAAGAAACAATTCTGCTAGAGAACTCTCGGCGTTTGCTGAATCGGCGATGGCTGTGAATCGTGTTGTACTTCAACATTTCTCCGTGAATTTGGAGGAATTAGCGGAGAAGAGGGAACCGAGATTGTCTACTTCATCCACAGATGAAGATAACCATCCTTACGGGCACATGTCCGATTCAAGCAGCGAATTATCAGAACACAGTAAGCTTTGCGCGACTCATTCCTCAAACGAATTTGATGCTAATTCGCGTGTAAAATCTTGTTCGGTTCATTCGAGTATCGATTTAATCGAATCAAAAGCCATTGGGAAAAATCGAATGATTGGTAAGGATTCATCGCTTCATCAACTGTTTGGTTTGTCACCGCCTAGCGAGAGCCGTTTGATGCAGCGCCGTTTAAAAGCTCGTTCAGATCTGTTAGAACGTCAAACGAACAAAGCAGTTATCGCGTCCCCTAGTGGCTGAAAGGTGACATTTTTACGAGAGAAAACAAAGATCTCCTTTCTTGGTACCGCGTATAATTCATATTTACACATCTGCATATACGGATACGAAAGAAGTGTGTACAGTAATGTTATCTATCGATAATTGACAAAGGGTAACAATGATATAAGCTATTTTATGATTGGCTAAGAGAAGAGTTGTGTTTCGTTAAAAATAACTAGAGTCGCATTACAATGATTTGCTCGACAATTGACGATTATTATACATACACGAGCATATTCTGTACAGCGACATATGGGGCGACGACATAAAAACGTGTCTTCACTCCGATACACAATCAACTGCGCGCGACGCCAACAGTACACGACACTCAGTCAGACAATAATTCTTCGTAAATTTCCATTCCTGACATGGGATTTAAAACATCGTATCCGAATATCTTTTTTTCCCGTTTTTCTGTTTTCTCTCTTTTCTCTTTTTTATCTTTTTTTTTTCTCTTTTTCTTCCCGTTATGCTTTAGTTTCATTTCGACAAAACTATTCAATGTTTTTTGTTTTTTGCACTTAAGTTCATAAAGATACAGTATTCGTTCGATTTATATGTTGCATGTTGCTTTACAATATATTCGTTAAATAATATGAACGAACATAAGCAAATACAGCACAAATTTCATACATATACAGTAACAATTAATGTCGTACACCTCAATGTATGGATTTTTCCTTATAAATTATTTTTACAATATTTTTAAACTTAAAATAATTTATACATGAATACACTAAATAGCTTATTACTTGATTTGTAATGAGCAACTTTTGAGGGATACAAAAGTGAATTTACTTATTTGATATATAATATTTATAAATTAAAAATTAGACCATCTCATAAGTAATATTATTTTAAAAGTATAAAGTTTCCATAGAAAAATAATATCTATTTATATATTTTTAATTAATTGAGTGTTATTTGCGAGATTGATTTTTTATAATGGAAGCAAAATTTTAATTCTTTTGCCAAGAAATTTCTTATCTTTTCAATTAAAAGATTTATTAAATGTATTTAATTTTCTGATCTGTATTTTCAAAGATTTTGCTAATTTAAAAAATTTTGTAATAAAAAGAATAGATAATAATTCTTTGATGCTGAACTAAAAGAATATATAGATTTAATATATATATTAACGCGAGTTAATTGTTTAATTTTTGATATTATTACTTTTGTATGTAGTTGCTGTGTACTGTGTATAGTCAAATATTGTTAAAGTGGAAAAAACTTCTTTGTAATTTTCTAATAGCAATTATTTTTATTAAAAACATATTTAATTTTTCCACTATAATATTCTCATAATAGTTTGATTTTAAAAGCTTACAATAAAAATATACAATAATGATTCCTTATAATTGCAACTATTTTAGAATAATATTATTTATGGGATGATCTAATATTTATATAAAACATTATTCTGGTCATCAGATATTAATATTAGTGTGATGAGCATGTCTGGCATGAGAAAAAAAAATTAGATATATTTTCATTATAAAAGACCAAAGGATTGTGTTAAAAATAGAATGGAATAATAATATCCAAAGAATTCTATAATTAAATCAATATTAAAAAATGATACTAGTCATGGTTATCCATGAAGTTAAAATATTAAAAAACAAATATATATTTTTATTAAATATTTTATTAATTATAATAACATTATCTGCTATATGTAAGATTTTTACTAATTAATTTTTCTATTTATACAAATAGAATTTTTAATTTGAAATTGCAGTTAAATTGTTCTAGTTTGTTTTGGATGATTCATTGCCTAAATAAATTTAAAAAATCATTATAACTTGATGGCATTTTGAAAATTTATCTAACTTAATCTAATTTAGTCTAATTTCCAATTAATGTACTGCAGAAATTATTCGTTGATTAAACAAAAGATCGAATCTTATTGATTAATTCCAATAGATTCAATACATTTATAAAAATAAGTACGTATATTAACCAAAAATATCATATCTACAGAAAATTATATGACACTATATAATGAAAAAAGTGCCGTCCTAGTAGCCATCTTGTCTGTATTATATTTCACATATTTACAAATTCAATGTTCTGTTCTTCATTTGCTCTCTTTTTTATACAGTATCGCATTTTTAAATCCTTAATTTTTGATATACAATGATTTTCCGAATGCAAAACTTATATTATTGAATTCTACTTGCCAAATATCTTCAAAAAACATAAAAATAAATGAAAAAAAATTGTTGATTGTCAAAACGAAGTTTTTCTAATTTATAAGTAAAAATTTTCCACGTATTAAGGTGTACGATTTTAACATTTGTACATTTTAACATATGTACATATAAAAAGTCAAAACAATCACATATATTTCTATTCCGGTTCAAATTAAAATTCTTCATTAGTATGGAACGTATAGGAACTTCAAATCTGTAATATGTACATTCCACTGTTAATATTCATTAGATAAAACATATAGCATAATATTAAAAAAAAAAAATAAAAAAATAAAAAAAATAAGTCATGGTAGATAATGTTTCTGTACTTTCGCTGTTATATAGTATCTAGAGAGAAATTCATGTGTATATGCTCGTTCATATCGATTTATCGAAACGGCTATACACAGAAAGACGCTAAAGAAGAGAAAATGATTTGTGTTTGATGAAGAATCAATTATCGATAATACCTATATTTGCTTTGTTTATTTTAGTTTCTTAGTTTCATCTTAAATATTTTTGGAACGCGTAGATACGATTTAATGAAATATTTCCGAGTTTTTTTTTTCTTTTCTAAAAATAATCTGTTAAGAATGATGAAATATAGCAACAGCAACTTCGAACGATAAAAACTTGTGTAATGGTAAGAAGATTAAATCGCGCATCTTGGTGCATGTTATGAATAGTTTGCTCAGTAGGTTTCTAAGAATGTAGTAGAGTGTAAGTTGAAAAATGTTTTAAAGAAGATTCCAAGAAAGGAATAAAAACGCGTTTGTATCGAAAGGAAAAGGGGAACGATAATTACGGCCATTTTTTGTAAATGTCTCTTAAGCATCTTTGTAGGGAGTTTAGTACATAAGGATGATAAAAAAAAAGTTAGTTTAACAAAAAGAGGAAAAAAAATAAGAAAAAAAATACAGAAAAAAAATGTACCTGCGTCGTAAGTGATTTAAGAGTATACCGAATGAAGGAGTGAAATGAAGATGTACACGAAGCACAGAGAGAGATCGAGAGATATATCCGATAACGTGCACATGCGCACGTACGTTAACGGGTGAACTTTCTCGAAGAAAACCTAGATTACACAAAAATCACATCCATTAATTACTGTTATGTATTTTTGTAGAGTTTTATCGACGAAATGTCATTTTATCGTCTACCCATCTACAGTTGCGATTCGACTCTATTGATTGCAAGTAATAACCAAAAATTTTCCTTTGATCGAATAATTTTCGTTACATAAAATATAAATAAAATATAAATATGTTATATGCAAATAATGAATGTTGCATTTTTTATATACGATGAAACATTGCAATCGTATGAATTTCAAACATATGATACGCGAAAGTATTATCCTTTTCAGTAGATTTTATTCGATTTTTATTCGATATGTTGGAAAACATGTTTTCTTTAAGGAATGGATAAATTAATAATAACATAATTAATAATGGATAACATTAAGATTTATTTATATTCATTTTATACTTACAATAATTGTTACAGTGATGAGTCGCGCTGTGGTGGGGGGATTCTTTACTCAGGGCAGTTACAATGAGCTGCGCAAATTTGTTATAAATTACATACACACTATCGCGTTTGAAGGAAACCAAGAAGAAAGAGCTTATGATATTTGTATGCGATCGAAGTCCATCCAGGGTTGAAAAATTAATCGTTACTTGTTCTTTCTTGAAATTAACCCTGAAAAAACTTTGTCCAACGGCATGATGACACGGTAATAACAGAAAATCGATTCGTAAAGATCGATTAGCATTACTAAACTACACTTTCCTCTCGAGGACATTCGATCTTTCTGAACTTTCTTACAAACATAAATATCATTTTGTCACATAACCTTTATTCGATTCCCATGGAGAGTAAATGTCACAAGACCACAGCGATATAATCGATCGTTAACAAATCTTTGGTTATTCCATCGTGTTATGCTCATCCAAATGCCTCAAATTTCAAGGAAAATCGACATTTCTCTTGAAAATTGGAACATTTGTTAGCGAGAATAACGTTATCGATTTGTCGTCTAGCGAGAGGAGAATCATGTGAGAACACGCATGCGTCATTGCACGTGCTTACGACGTAGAGACGAAAAAAAGCGTTACACATTAATTACAACCATGATTCTTTAATCATGGAAACCATCAAGAAACACGAATGTATCGCGATTTTCTTTTTCTCTTTTTCGTAATTCTTTTTTTTTTGTAATTTTTTCATAATTTCTTCGTAATTTTCTCATATTCTTTTCCCATTTCTTTATTCTTAATTCTTTCGTAAATCGAAAGGTATGATGAGGTAGTGGAAAGAATATACGAATGCGAAGAGAAAAATGAAAATAATAGAGAGAGAAAAAAAAGAAAAAGATGAAATAATAAACGATTGAATACATTTTCATCTACGAGTAATAATATCATACCTTTCATAGCCTAATTCTCGCTATTGATCACACGTTATTGACATCTTTCTCTCAAAAACTGCATCTTCGAATTTTTAACGATACATTTTTGTTACTTGTTCCGTTCGTTCATTTATAATATATGTATGTACAATAGCGTATGGCGTAATCAACCACAGTCTTGGTAATACAATAGTTTCATGAGAAAACTAAAAATGCATTCTCGACCGATATCTATTTCTCGCACGATATTGTTTTATTTCAGGATGTGTTTCGTACAATTTTCGCTCCCTTGAACCACGCCATCATTCCATTGTCGTCTTCGAAGCGGCAATGACACTAACCTGATATCGATCGAGCGTGCACCGTTTCATATCGTCAATATGTTAACGATGCGGCGTAGATAAATGCTTTTTCGAAGGGATATTCAAATGCGAGAAGAGAGTGCGTAGAGTAAAGGACGAGCAGCGACAAATATTGTGTAAGGAAAGCAATCGAATCAGAATATAAAAAGAGGAAATATTCATGGCCATAATAATATTATAGATCTATAAAATTGTAATAACAATGTGAGTGCGTGAGTGTTTGTTCGTCTGTATGCCTGCCTATCTGTCTATCTTCGTTTCATTCGTATAGACGAAAGAATTATACGCGCGAGTAAAATTACGTGCTCTTTCTGTATGCGTCTATGGATGTATATATATAAGTTGGTATGTCGTGTGTGTATGTGTGTGTGCGCACGTGTGTATATGTTATGAACTCGAACGGGAAAAAATAATATTTAGTGTATAAGCGAAAGAATACATACCTTAGTATAGATTTATAAAATTATGTGCTAAGGTACCGCTGCGCTATACCGACGAGTCTTTCTTCGACTATCATTCAAAAGAAAGAAAAAAAAAAAAAAAAAAAAAAAAAAAAAAAAAAGTCGCGATTCATCCGTACTATGCGAATGCACTTGTAGCATAGCTTCGTTTGTTCGTTTATTCATTTGTTCGTTTATTCGTTCATTGAACGGCGTAACAGCGCTTAAAGCGTGTACTAGTCGGATAAAAGGGAGAATTAAAATATTGCGCATATATTTTTTTTTTCCATTCTCAAAGCTTGACAATTCTCATTTCTAAAAATCAATCCAGACACGGAGTAAGCGTACACGTATATATACTCTGTACGTATTTTGTGGATCTTGAATGAAATTTTGTGATCTTGTGCGAAATTAGGATGAGAATATTTTTTGATGTAGACATTTTTCGATCGATCGGTCTCGAAAATTATACGAACCGGTCAAAAAGATATATATTGCAAACTCTCGACATATCGCAACGGTATACAAAGACACGGCTTGCGCAAACATTGCTTGTAAGTTTCTTCCGGGTAATACAAAATACTTTCGATTTTTTTTTTTTTTTTTTTTTTAGCATTTTTGTCTTTTAATAATAATAATAATAATAATAATAATAATAATAATAATAATAATAATAATAATTTTCCCTGTGTTTTCTAAATTTATAAAAATTTCACGTGAAAAAAGGCCGTGTTACGTATACCCCGGAAGAGATAGCATTTTCATTACGGTTCTTTATTTTAGACAAAGAAAAATAGTATAAAAGAAAGAGAAAGAGAGAATGAGAGAATGAGAGAATGAGAGGATGAAAGAATGAGAGAAAAATGAAAAATTCCTTAAAGAACGAATAAAAAAAAAAAAATGTCACGAGTACTTTTCAAACGAATATCGGTTTTTTTTTTCTTTTTTCTTTTTTTCCTCGTCTGCTTTTTATTTCAGCCATTTGCCGGACCGGAAGACGTGTATTTCGATTCCTTTCCAGTTTTCATACCGTAAAATATCTTACGAAGAAGCCCGTCGTTGCTCTCCTTCATCGATTTTTGGATGATCTATTGGCTATATTGTGACAAGAATTACGAATTGATCGTAAGAACGATGCTCGTCCTTTTTTTCTGTGAAAAAAAGATGCGAAACTTTTAAAAGGTTCTCTTTCGCACGGAAAGCGATCAAATGAGAATGAAAAAAAGAAAGAAAAAAAAAAAAAACGGACAACAAAAGCGGTATAATAAGAACGAAAAGAATGCATTTCACAAATACGAAAATGTGAAAGTGTGAAGCATAATTGCTATTTCTATGTGTATGATATTTAGATCGTACGGATAGAAACAATTTCCAAAAAAAAAAAAAAAAAAAAAAAAAAAGATAAACAACCTCTTGTAAAGTAATTTGAGTGCGAAAATTCGAGATGTGAAAGAAAGGTGAGAAAGAGAATGATGAAGAAGAGGGGATTTTCGGGACTTGGGAATCGTAAAAATTTGCGAACGGCATTGTTTTTTCCGTGTAAAAGCGAGCAAATCTTTATGAGAACTTTGTAAGCTTCCTAATAAAATAGCATTTAATCGATAAACTGGAAAATATATCTGATTGTTTGCGGTCTGATAATTTCTGTCTCTATCTACAACGATATTCTCGATCATATTCTCGATTTTTGAGAATTTTTTTTTCGATTTGTTAATACGGTTGTATTAACAAAGTATCATGGATTTCTCTCAGATTGATTTGATCTTTTTATCATTTATTTTTGAGCCAAAAAAATGCATATACACGCTCGATTAATTCAATTTCGCGTTATCCTCGTTAATTTTTTGAAACTCCAATTTTTGACACATATATGTCTTTAAAAACTTAAATAAGATGCAAAGTAAGAATTTCGTTAGGCTGATAGACAATTTGGAATAGCGATATTCCAAGTTATTTTTTCTTCTACAAAATTGAAGAAAATAAATATTTATTGAAATTATTCTATTTCGCAATCTAATTAAAAACGTAACATAAAAACTATAATATCAATTTCTAATCTTAATTTATTATAAATAAATAATAAATTGTTATAAATAATAATAAAATTTATAATAATCTTTAATTATTATAAATATAATATTATAAAATCTTGATATCTAAATTCTTTATTATTAGATACAATGTAATCAATTAATTAATTAATTACTTCTCAAAATTAATTAAATATAGTTGAGTTAATCATTTTATTTGTAAGTTTGATTAATCTCTTCATCATTTACTAATTTAATAAAAACCTTTGGAATATTCCATATTTTAAATTATTTTCATCTTCAGAATTCCGAATTAGCATAGAAAAATTTAAAATGATTCATGTCATATTTTATATTCTGGAAATATTTGCAAAATATAAAATTATAAAATTAAAATGTAAGTGAATAGATTAAATAATTTATTTTAAAGTTTTGAATATATTTTAATTCAATGATTGAACATTTATTGAAAAATTTTTCTAGTGGAAATTGAAATTTTATTTTTCCACAAATTAAAAATTAAAAATATTAAAATTATAATTTATTTTACACAAATTATTGTCTCTTATTAATTAATAACATTATTAATAGCATTATTAATATAATAACATTATTTTTTATAATGTTACAAATTAAATAATGTTAATAGTTTTTTAACTTTAAATTTCCTTCTAGTGTAAATATTTATATCTAACTCTTTATTTTTATAAAATTTAAATTTTTATTTTATTATCAGCAATTTTTATGTTTTAAATTTGTAAGTATATATTTGTAATTTAGTTTAAACTAATTTGTTTAATTAGTTAAAAAACTTTTAATTTATTATTTAATTAAAATTTATTGATAATATTTTTTAAATTTATTGTATCTATCAATTTTAAATATCTGATTTAATTACCTCTGATTAATAAGACTATTCGAATAATATGGGAAATACTAGAAAAACATTAAACTACATTAAAATCAATTGTTATTATATTAGATCATTTTTAATTATATTTAATCATATAATCATATGTGTCAAAATAAAACAATTTTTATAACTATATCTGATCCATATTAATTATTATAATTTATTGTGAAAAAATCAAAAACCGAAAATTTTGTATACTAGTTCCAATTTTTTTTCTTGCTCTATGTATGTGATTCCTCCAAATATATCGACCAAATAAATATACCCCTACCTTTCGTCCCTTTCACTTTTATTGGATATCATCTTGGTAACATTGCACAGTGATCATCATCAATTCGACAAATAAAAACAATTGTTTTATTAAATTGATAAGAAAGAAGACGATGAATAGAATTAATTCTTGTGGTACGAATTCATCGATGATGGATAAACAATTTGAAAAACCACCACCATTTAAATTATGCTTTTCCAAAGATAGATTACTTGGCAAATCAAACATACGTGTATCGAAAATCAATGGTAGGTATATTTTTTGTGTGATTTTTTAAAACATTTCAAATATGTGTGATATCATGTGCACTTGTATTTTTCTTTTAATTATATTGACATCGAAGGACGAAATTATTATAAATGAATTAAAATAGTGATAAACTAAATTAAAATAGTGGTATAATTTCACATTTTATTGAACGATCACAAGAAACATCGTATTCGAAAAGATCATCGATTGAAATATTTATAATTTTTCGTAGCTTTTTTTTTTAGTTTTCTCTTTAATGGAGAAAATAGAATTAATCAAATTTTTTATTAAAATAATTCCAAACAACAACTATTCTATTATTGAAAATAACAAAATGAAATGTTATTTAACTTTTAAAAATTTTGCTTATTTTATTATAGTTTACCATTTTTTATATATTTTTTTTATGCGTGTATATGTATAGAAAATTTATTATATTATATATTTTGAAGAAATAGGGAAATGATATATGTGTACAATGAAAATTTACATTCTTTATTTTTTACTCTGCCACAATGAACAACATACTTGAAAACTTCGAGAAAATTAAATGTCTTGTTTTTTTCCTAGTTTTCCGTAAAAGTTTACATTTTTTTTTTAGACGTTTCTAATTGGCTAATAACAAAATGATGTAGTTAACCAATCAGAAATTCATTTCAAATTGTCTCGTCCATATGACGCCTTGAATATACTTTTCTTAAAGTGTGGGGATGATTGGTGGAAAAGTTTCCCTAGGATTTTTAAAAATATAGTTTTTTCTAGGTCCAAATCCAAAGTTTCTGATGTACGTAATTTATTGCTTGACTTCGTTTCGAGGATTCTTCGAAAATATTGATTATAATATAATGTAATCAATTATGAAAACATAAACGAAAAACATTCATTTAAAAATATATGTTGCATAAAAAAATTTCTAAAACAGTTTTTCTTAAAAAATAGCTTTTTAAATTACTATGTATAAATTAATTAGCCATTGAATATTTGTTTCATTGATCGCTACAATTTGATTTATATTGAATTATATTTTATTATTTTATTATTATATTTTAGAAAATTTATTCAATTCCCGTATATTAATTATTTATTTTTTTCTTTTTTTTTTCGAATTTGATAATTTTAACTGGAATTTTATTAAATCTATAAAAAAATTTTAATTAAGGCAAAATTTTCTAATAAATATGAAATGCACATATAATTCAAATCTTTCAATTGCACATTTAATTTATGCAAATAATTTTTTACATATATTTCTGGTGTAGATGTTTAGATTACACATAAATATTTGTTATTGTTTCATTATTATTATCTCCCATTTAGAATAATCATTATGGATGATATATTACAGGTGATTTAATCACGCCAAAATATTATTCGAAGTATGAGAATACGCCAGAGAATTTTAATGCGATTGATACGCATGAAAGAAATACAGAACAGAAGGAAAATAATTGCGATTATAGAAAAAGACCAGCTATACTTACTAGTTATGCGTAATTTGAATTCTCTTAAGGAAATGAATTACAAATTTCAATTTTGATTTCTTTGTGTTTTAATTATTTTTGCTTTTCAATTTTAGATACGGGTGGTGGTATGAACAGGGATTACGACCGATTGAATCTCAACTTGATTTTCGTAAAAAAACAACAGACTTAATAAATTTTGGAATAGACACTAATAATGCGGAAAATCGAAAATTTAGAAATTTAAAGCAATAATGTAAAAGTATCTTGCATACGTATTTATATGTTTGCTTATTTTATTTTCTAATTTAAAATGTGTATTCATTCGTCTATTAAAAGTAAACAAAAATTAATTATATATGCAAACTTATCTGGTGAGATTGAAAGAGATTTTTCGATTTTAAGTTGGTCGTTAGTTTCTAAGGAAGCATTTATTTTCAAAAAGCACAGCAGCGCCGAGCGGATGTATCAGATAACAACAGTTGCCGCGCAATCAATTTCTTGATTTCCCGCCATCTCGAAATATATATAATATTGACCAATCAGATTCAAGACCTACAGAATATCTCGAATCGTCGCAAGCGATTCGAGCAATTGGAACTTACCGCTAGCGATTGTTTTCTGTACGTACAACCAGTAGCGATTGAAAAAACGGTGTTGTGACGGGATTCCGCCAAAAATGAATTCCGGCGTGGCGGAACACACGAGACTTAGTGAAGATTGCTTGGACAATTCTGAAGAATTCTCACCACCTGAAAGGTAAATTAATTTCACGGCAATCCCCCATTTTTGTAAAAGAAGTCCTGAATCATAGCAAACGTCTCTCTTACCTGTTACTCAGGATGATGCAGGTGCGTTATTTCGCGCGCATAGGTAAGGTTAAGAACCTCTGCCAGTGGTGAGTTGTGAATTGTATTCACAAGATATAGTAAATGTTCATTTTTTATCGTTGTTTATTAGTTTTTTACGTGAAGTGAAAAAAATACTAGATTTATAAATTTCAAATTTATTAACTGAACATATAGAAAACATTTTTTTTCCAAATTATTCTCTTCAGATCTAATTAGATTAATTGCTCTATGATTTAAAAAAAATTATTTTCTATTTTCATTCTATTAATTAGCAAATTATTATTTTAATTAGTAAAATTTTATTTTACTTGACTTAATATTTTTTCTTTTATGATATGATAATTTTTTAGAATAGTAAAAAATTGAATTTTTCAATTTATTGTAAAAACTTCAGATATAGAAATATTTCGTTTTTTATAATATTCATTTAAAAAATTTATTAATTTCATATTCTTATATGTATTAAATTACTTTTTTAAATAGTTTTTATTGATCATATATCATTCTAATCGTTAAATATTAGTTGCTAATTAAGTAATTTCTAATAATTAAAAAGTATTCAATGGATTGTAAATATAAATTTTGATGAAAATAAATCTGTATTTTTATCCTATCAATTTTTTATTTTATATTTGGAATTATAAATGTTATGTATGTTTAGCTCAATAACGACCTTAAGTCGGTTAATCATTTGTAAATATTAAACTGTTTATAATTTAAATTAAATATAATTTTTGCCAACTGCCATTCTGTATGCTTATGTTCCAAACCTGTACACATTTGTGACACAAAACATACTTGGTTAAGGGAAGACTCTGGAATTACTATGTCAGGACCGCCTTCTTCACCCTGGTGGAACAGGTTGCCTTTTTTATTTTTTTTCTTTATACCAAACTATAATGTAATTAAAAGTTCTTTCAAGAGTACTTAATAATTAATCTTGTTTCTATAAATATGTCTTATAGCAAACGACTACGCCTAGATGACAGTTGTAACAATTTAAATGATACCTTAAATAGTGCTTCCAAAAATAATACAAAATGGTCATATTCAGGAGATGCAAATCTTGTAGAACCAGAAATTTTAGAAGATATGGGTGTTAGTATGTTAGAAGATGAAGCATCAAGTTATGAAAGTACAAAAAAGACTGATTCTCTGGAACGGACAACTTCGCCAATTATTTCAGATAACAATGGACAATGTGATAAAATTAATAGTTTTCAGAGTCAAGAAAATATTTATAGAGGTTCCAACTTTGATACCGTCAGTATAGACAGGTTTGTGTTTCAATACAATTATGCATTTTTTCATTTATTTTACATGTATTTTATATATTTTCATATATTTTTCTATAGCTTTGATGCTACTCGAAGATTAGATCACGATCCATATGAATCTGATGAACTTACAACATATTCAACAATTGGAAATGAATCTGGTTATTCTTCTAAAATGGAAATAGATAATTTAATTGATACAAAAGAAACCTTTTCAAAAAATGATCTTAATGATTCTTCTGTAAAAAGTAGTCTTGAACAATTTTATCTTTATAGAAGAAAAAGAAAACCTTCAATTGTTGGTGAAGATAAATTTAATAAATTATCAGATGAAATGATTTTAATGATATTAAAATGGCTTCCAAAGAAGTGTTTGGTAAGATAAGTTAATAAAAAAAAATAATAAAAATAATTTATAGATAAAGCAAAGATAATGTTATTTATGTAATTTTATATATATATTTCATGATTATTAATTTTAGGTACGTTCCATGTTGGTTTGTAAACGATGGTGTCAAATAGCACGAGATGAAGCATTATGGAGCAGATTGGATTTAGGCAGTAAAGTATTAAATGAAGGTACATTAGGTCATATATTACCAAGAGGTGTGCAAATACTTCGACTTGCACAAGCAGAAATTGCCGATCCTGTATTTCTTGAGAATAGTGAAGTTCTTACTGATGGTTACATTAGTAAATTACAGTATTTAGACCTCTCGATGGCGGTAATTTCATCAAATGGATTGGCTATGTTACTATCTAAATGTAAATACCTTAAGAAATTGTCTCTAGAAAAATGTACAGTAAATAGATTGTGTTGCAAAGCTATTAGTGATAATAATGATTTAGAAATATTGAACTTAACAATGTGTGAGGGTTTAGACATTGAATGTATCAAGAATTTGATGAAACTTAAAAAGTAAGAAAAATTATTTACAATAATATCAGTTATAGGAAAAAATTTAATACTAAGTAATTTATTTATTTTTTCCAGTCTTAATGCTGTCAATATGGCTTGGTGTAGTTTAGATACTGAAACTATGACATTACTTTGTAAATCTTTACCTCCGTCCGTTACGCGTTTAAATATAGCTGGATGCAGAAAAACTATGACAGATGATAGTAAATATAATATCGTATTTAAAAAAAAATTTATGTTATGTCAATTAATATTATTTTTATGTCTTATTTCAGATGTCAAAGATTTAGTAAAAAGTTGTCCAGATATGATAGAATTAGATTTGAGTGATTGTACTATGCTTACAATGAATACTGTTCGTAGTTTACTTGATTTGTCAAAATTAGAACATTTGTCGCTAAGTCGTTGTTATGGTATACCTCCTTCAACATATGTTACATTGGCATATATGCCATCTTTACTATATTTGGATGTTTTTGGTGTAATACCTGAACCAGTACTAAAAACATTACAAGTTACCTGTGGTGAAACTCAACTTAATAAATATCTATATAGTTCTGTTGCAAGACCAACAGTTGGTGTTCGAAGAACAAGTATCTGGGGGCTTCGTGTTAGAGATTAAATGAAACTGTAACATTTATCTATATAATTAGTGGTAAATAATCAATTTAATACCAAAGGGATATTGAAATGTACTTGTGTGCCTTTCTATTAAGTGTCTTTTTAACAAAAGACTGATCTTATGGTACCAACAAAATAAAAGCAATACATTTTTTTGTATAAAATTCTGTTTTCCTCTTTTTTTCCTATTTTACTTTGTTTTTTATAATTAAAATAATAATTAAATTATATTAAATTACAGTCAATTTTCAAATTTTTAAACAAAATGAAACATAAAAATGAAATAATTTTATTTTCATCATTATTATCTTGCTTTATTTAATATAAACTCAAATTGCTTATAATGCTTATAATTAATAGTAAATTAATAATAATTAATAATAAATAAGTTTCAATTGATATTTTTTTATATTAACTTTTATATTTTATTATATTTGTTTTAATCTTAAAAAGTATTTATGAATATATTAATATTTTGTAGAATGATCTTAAAAAGATTAGAGATGTTTTAAAAATTTGTTATGTCTTGTTATAAATAAATAATAAATAATAAATAAATAAATCAAAATATAATGTAATATTGATCAAACATAAAAAAAGAAATAAAATAATCATAAAGAAATTAAATAATATAATGTTTATTATGAAAACATATAATAATAAAATATAACAATATATAATAATAACTTAAATTACAATTACATTTATATATTAAAATGAATGAATATAAATATATGAAATTTTATAATATATATTATAATATCTAAATATATAAATTATAATATATAATATAATATATACAATTTATAAATTTATTTTTTAAAAATTCTTTTCTTGTTACTTACATTAAAAAATTTTAGTTAATTTTTATTAAAAATTTCAATTAATTTGTTCCTTTTTTATTAAATAATTTTAACATATTTTTGTTTATTATATGTTTTGAAAATTGATAATTTTTGTTTTAAAATTCTATATATCATGTTCTTTTAATTATACTTACTTTTTGTTTTGAATCTAATGCTCTCATATATTAGTAATAAAAAGTATTTTGTAATATTTCTCTTTTTTAATGATAGCTATTTTTATTTTGTTTATTATTTTAAAAAACTTTTTGTTTTTTTTAAAAATATATTTTTTATCATATTTAAATCAAGCTTGGTATATACATTTTGATAAATAAATGAAATATTGAAATGAATGAAAGCTTCTATTATATTCAATATATTATTCAGACAAATCATTTTTTAATATTAATGGTTTTTTCTGCTGAAGGTTAATGATTTTTTTTTTATATTTTAATAATATTTATTACATATATAATATTAACTGAAATCTTATGTTTTAACATCTCCTTTTTTTTTATTGTAATAATTTTATTGCATTTACATTTGTTTTATATGATCATTGCATTTTTCAAACAAAGGTTTCAAATCTAGATCCTTCCAATCATGCAAATGATTATTTCTTTTTTTTTTCTTAGAAGGAAAGGAAAAAACATTTGCTACTACTATAACTATCATCTATAAAATATCTATAAAATATCTATATACTATATTACACTATATTACACTATATTATATATTATAA